ATAAATATTTTTTTTAATCCTTGCATGTCATCCGGTGATGAATTTTTTCTCCCCTAAATGATTCCATGAACGAAGACTCGATAATGAGGGAGAAGGCGCACCAAGGCTGATCCTAGGGCCAAACCATTAAAATAGTTATCTAGGGGCCCTAATTAAATTTTCAGCTCTTAGTTCTCAACTCTATTTTCTGAGACCCTTTGGACCGAGTTTAGAGGCCCAATGCATTTCAAAATTCTATATAAAGTCTACCAAAAAAGCCTAAAATATAACCAAACTTTTTTAAAAAACCTAAAAGATTATGACTTCTAACTGTAAAAGTAGTAATTCCTCTCAAATTCCTTCCACTCTCTTTCCTTCCCCTCTCACCATCTCTTTCCAACTCTTTCTCTCCCTCTCATTTTCATTGCCTTGTTGTGGCTCTTTTTATTTATTTCTAACTCTCTCATTCTCTTTCTCTCTTTTAAGTCTCCAATCCCTTACTCTCTTTGAAGCCTTCAATCAGTTTATTTCATATGTATGATCCTTACTTCACAATTTGCACCAATTTTATCGTCTAATCTCAAAACCACTAAAACATTAGAACTAAATCACACCGCAACTCTCTACAAAATGTTCAATAATCATATAATATGTTTCGCGTTATTATCCTAAACGTTGATACTGTCCCATGTGAAATTCTCACTTTACAACTACTTTTGTTGAGTCACCTTTGCTAAACACCACCTCTAATTCCTAAAGAACAACAAATAAAAACCATACATACTATTAGCAAGTAATAACCAGAAAGCACTACAGTGAAGTATGGCCTTATTATGAGCAGGGCATTATTGGGCACTGGCAGGTTTGGATCGATCCTTTACCCAATTGGATGTGTTTGTAGTTGTCCTATATTATTGAGTAAATCTTTTTCAAATTTTTTGCACCATTAACTTAGAGGACGTGTTTGGATGGCAGGGTTGGACTGAACTGAATTTGAGATCTAAAAAAAAATATCATTTCTTAGTTTCCTATCTAGTGGTCTGAGAATAAAAGAGGAGGGCAGAATTAGAACTGTAAAGAAAGATTCGTTGGTTTTCACTTCCGAGTTTCCCCGTGTCTGGGTCAACTCAATAATGCAACTAATGTGGCTCAGTCATCTTTCGACTCTACGGAATATGATACAATTACCTTTCTGACCCAAGTTTTGTAACCTATTTTAAATAAACCCACCTATTGTATCAAAAATTGACAATCTAGCTTTTCAATGACAATTTGAGGCATCTCGCAATAATTTGTTTTAATTGATTTTAGAATAAAATAAATTTTGAATTTGACTTTAAATAGCATTTTTGGTCTCTAAAATATGCTTGTTTTATCAGTTTTGTCCTTATTATATAAATTTTATCAATTTGGTCTCTAAAGTTTTAATTTGTGTCACTTTGATCTATAATTAGACAATTCTTTATATTTTTTTCGGAAGTGACCACATGTCATTCTTGATATCACACGACCAACAAGTGATCATTCTGTCAAAAATTAACGATCCCTCTGTGAAAGGACCATTTAGCACGAATTAAATATTTTAGTAACCAAATTAATAAAATTGATACTTTAAGGACCAGACTGACAAAATACACATACTTTGATAACCAAAAATGTTATTAACCCTATTTATATTTTAAGAATGAGATTGTTGTGGAGATTAGAATTACTTGGTTGTTTATATAATCCTATAATAATACGGAACCAAGATTGAAGCTTACAATATTCTAGACAGTAAAAAATAAAAATTACAAACATTTAACAAAAACACCCTACTGTGACGTAAATCAATCAAAGCAAACATTTATCCTACTCCTTCACGTGCTTCCTCTTCACATTTTAATGTCTAAGCCACTGTAAAACTATTTATTTATATTTTAATCTATCAATCCTAATAAATTTGTCTATTTATATTTTAACCACGTTAAATTTACCTATTTATCTTTTAACCATAATAAATCTGTTTGCTTATACTTTAACCATCCATTGAATCTTTCACACTTGTCTTGCATTACACAAGCAACCCTAGTTCATAAACATGCTCGGAAAGCTCACAGTGGGCTACTCTACACATTGAAGGAGCACCAACGCTGGGAAACCTTGTTCAGATATTATAACAACAACTTACCAAAATGACTGTTTAAACTATTAAGTCCCCTCTTCTATACCCACACATTAATATTGTGATCATAATCCTTACTTTGACAAGAAGAAAAAGCAAAGGGACAATGGGGGAAAGAAGAAGAAGAAGAAGAAGAGAGAAATTGGGTAAGTATGGAGCCTCCAAATCAGAGGTTAGATTCTTTCAGCTGGATAAAAATTTTATTTTGAAACGTTTGAAACATTTTCGTTTTCAAGGAGACAGAAACAAATTAGTGACAAAATCGAAATTATAATACTTCGAGATGTTTAATAATTTTTCAATGCATTTACACAATGATATCAGAATGTTTCAAGATACTTTGGTATAATTCACCTAATGTTTTGAAAAAATAATTCTTAATTTTTTTTTCCCAAATGAATCAAAACATTTCTGAAACATGTTAAAATATTTCTATTTTCTAGGTGACCGAAATAAAACACTAAAATAAAATTTTAATCCTTACTAAAGATTGAATTGTCATGTGCACGAGCTTCACCCAAGATACAAGCAGGGGCAACAGTGGAAAGGCAAAACATGGGTGACCAACCAAGAGTAACACAATTTGTAGTTGAGGATCCATTGGGGTCATAATGAAAATAACCATACTTTAAGGGATGCTAAGTTAATATAAGTAATTGAATGCATGAAATATGTATGAGTGGAGAAATAAAGAGAATTTTAACCATAGAACTCTACAAAGGCCTGTTACCACCCTTGAGAACCCCACTTGGACCACCATAGCTAACGATCCTTGAATTAGACTTAGATCAAAATTTAATCTAATTTTAAAAATTTTGATCTAACTATTGGGTAATTCATAGTCGAACTCATTAANAAATATTTTAGTAACCAAATTAATAAAATTGATACTTTAAGGACCAGACTGACAAAATACACATACTTTGATAACCAAAAATGTTATTAACCCTATTTATATTTTAAGAATGAGATTGTTGTGGAGATTAGAATTACTTGGTTGTTTATATAATCCTATAATAATACGGAACCAAGATTGAAGCTTACAATATTCTAGACAGTAAAAAAGAAAAATTACAAACATTTAACAAAAACACCCTACTGTGACGTAAATCAATCAAAGCAAACATTTATCCTACTCCTTCACGTGCTTCCTCTTCACATTTTAATGTCTAAGCCACTGTAAAACTATTTATTTATATTTTAATCTATCAATCCTAATAAATTTGTCTATTTATATTTTAACCACGTTAAATTTACCTATTTATCTTTTAACCATAATAAATCTGTTTGCTTATACTTTAACCATCCATTGAATCTTTCACACTTGTCTTGCATTACACAAGCAACCCTAGTTCATAAACATGCTCGGAAAGCTCACAGTGGGCTACTCTACACATTGAAGGAGCACCAACGCTGGGAAACCTTGTTCAGATATTATAACAACAACTTACCAAAATGACTGTTTAAACTATTAAGTCCCCTCTTCTATACCCACACATTAATATTGTGATCATAATCCTTACTTTGACAAGAAGAAAAAGCAAAGGGACAATGGGGGAAAGAAGAAGAAGAAGAGAGAAATTGGGTAAGTATGGAGCCTCCAAATCAGAGGTTAGATTCTTTCAGCTGGATAAAAATTTTATTTTGAAACGTTTGAAACATTTTCGTTTTCAAGGAGACAGAAACAAATTAGTGACAAAATCGAAATTATAATACTTCGAGATGTTTAATAATTTTTCAATGCATTTACACAATGATATCAGAATGTTTCAAGATACTTTGGTATAATTCACCTAATGTTTTGAAAAAATAATTCTTAATTTTTTTTTCCCAAATGAATCAAAACATTTCTGAAACATGTTAAAATATTTCTATTTTCTAGGTGACCGAAATAAAACACTAAAATAAAATTTTAATCCTTACTAAAGATTGAATTGTCATGTGCACGAGCTTCACCCAAGATACAAGCAGGGGCAACAGTGGAAAGGCAAAACATGGGTGACCAACCAAGAGTAACACAATTTGTAGTTGAGGATCNCGAGCTTCACCCAAGATACAAGCAGGGGCAACAGTAGAAAGGCAAAACATGGGTGACCAACCAAGAGTAACACAATTTGTAGTTGAGGATCCATTGGGGTCATAATGAAAATAACCATACTTTAAGGGATGCTAAGTTAATATAAGTAATTGAATGCATGAAATATGTATGAGTGGAGAAATAAAGAGAATTTTAACCATAGAACTCTACAAAGGCCTGTTACCACCCTTGAGAACCCCACTTGGACCACCATAGCTAACGATCCTTGAATTAGACTTAGATCAAAATTTAATCTAATTTTAAAAATTTTGATCTAACTATTGGGTAATTCATAGTCGAACTCATTAAAAACTCAAAAGAATTCAATCAAAATGTTATCCGATTCCTATAACTCAGTTTGACTCGATTTTGTTGAATTTCATCTAAATTTTAACTTAATTTAGTCAAATAATTACTCAAGTTTATCTTAATTATTTATGTCCATAGAGGTAATACCATTTTAAATTAAAATTAATTTCTTGAGATATGATAAACGAAATTGAATTGAAATTGTCCATTAAAAATACTACTACATTCGGGTTGAATCCGATTCAGTAACAATCTATCTCACGATCCGAAACCCGACCCGAATGTGCTTGACATCACACATGCTTATCCACATTGCAGTTGGGGGAGTTAAAAGTNTTCGGGTTGAATCCGATTCAGTAACAATCTATCTCACGATCCGAAACCCGACCCGAATGTGCTTGACATCACACATGCTTATCCACATTGCAGTTGGGGGAGTTAAAAGTTGCCGCAAAATCCAAAATAACGACCGTCCTCTCTCTCTCTCTCTCTCTCTCTCTCTCTCTGTCCTCCATCAAACGCCTTAGCAATTGTGCTGTTCATAATAACATGGCTGATTTCTTCTGTACCTTCGTCGACTCACGTTCTTGCACCAAATTCTCTCTCTTCAACCCATTCCACCCATTCTTAAAACCAATTCCTGCACTCTCAACTCTTTCTTTTCATAACCGAAGAAGCAGAAGGAGAAGAAAAACTCTTCATGTCACTCTGTTCTCCAAGCCCATTTTGCCTACACCCCCTTCATCGGACTTCGACATCGTTTCCATCACTGGTACGCCCCTAAACCTTCAATTCTTCGCTCCATTTGATTCATATACATCTACTTATATATGTGCTTTCGATTCTATAATTGAGGTTAATTGATTTCTTTGCTTTAATCTTTGATTCTTTGGTGAAACAGTTATTTGGTGTGTACTGGTTGTGTTTTTATTCTTGAGGCCTTTTTGGTGGTTGTTTTCGCAGAGTGCTCTGATGGTAGCTTTGTGTTTCGGTTCGGAGATGCGAGTGAGATTGCAAGAAATGGCGAATTGGAGGAACCCAATTTAGGTAATGAGGGTTTGGTGAGGGAAGATAAAAAAGAATTGCATAATGCGAATGTTTTGGATGGGGATCATGAAAGTGGAGTGATTGTCAAGAAAATAGAGGGAAAAGTGAGGAGCGATTTATCTGATAGTGTTGATCCAGTAGCTGATTGTGGGGTAGGCAATAGTGCTGTTGAGAGAGAGAATGATGTAAATGGAGGCATAAGTGGTAGTCAAGTCGAATCAAATGAGAGATTTTTCAAGGACTCTCAAGAAGTAGAATTTGCTTCGGATAGCAAAATGGTTGGTTCTTCTCTTTCCTTGATTGATGTGAAGAACTCAGTATGTTCAGAAGAAGGTTTGATTGAGAAGGATAAGGATGAAAGTTCAAATTCAGTAACTGTTCGGCTTGAGACCAGTTTTGTAGCAGAAAATGGTGCTGCTTCTGTGGAAGTTCTTGAAGAGGATAGTGAAAAGGAAGCAACGCTTGGATTGAATTCTGTGGAGCTTGACTCTGTTGTGGAAGTACCCATATGCAATGCTGATCAGGGAATGAGTGAGGAAAATGTTTACAGTCCAGTAATGCAGTTGTTGTTGGAAGCTCAGGATAAGAGTGTGGAGAGTGGAATGCATGGTGTGATAGATGAAGATGGTGATGAAAATGACATGATGGAAGTGTTGCATCTGTCACCCCCATTAGAGGCTGAACCAATTCTTGACGAGGAAATAAGTCATGATGTGATTGTTGATTCTGCTGAAGCAGATAGAATTGGAAGCCCTGCGACGGTTAGCTTTTCTCAATTCTCTGTAAATGTTAATGTGGTTAATTATGCAATTACTTCTTTGAAGTCCCGAGTCTTTTGATGAAGGGTCATAGTGATATTTTTATCGGGATACAAAGATGTAAACTTATCAAAGAAGATTTTGATGTTAAAGTATTGGAATTTATTTGGTCACATGTGGGAAACCAATGTAGAAAATAAGGCAAGTGAGGGGAAAACGCTATGATATTGAAAAGTCCTTTTATGTGGTATTTTTGGAAAAAGCCATCTCAGTTGTCGTGTTTTAAATATATTGCTCTTTCTAATTAATGTGAAGAACCCTCTATGAGTTCCTCTACTGCCCTAGTATATGGATTATTTTTTCATACCTGTGGATTTGTTTTGCTCCTCAGCAGCACATTTGATTTTAAAACATTGTCAAATGTCTAGTCATTGTATTTGAAGCTGGAGAACCACTGTTATACCTGGATATTTCACTTTAGAAGCATGCCATCTCTCCCTGTAATACCCACATGTTTATGACCTTCAGATATGTATATTGCTAGTCTTATATCACAGCAACTCATGGGCTTTTGCTTGCTTTCATAATAGAGGCTGCAGACAGTAGGTTGACCATGTCCTCCATGCAGTACCCTTGCACGTTTCTTCTTGTTCATTCACATGGGGACATGCTCTAGGGATTTACAATTGTAGATGACTAATTTGGCTGCAAAACAGTTGTTTACCAATATCTTCCCATACCTCCTATTTCATGGAAATAAAGCACACTTTTTTTCCTACCCTTTGCTTATAGCACCTTTTACAAAGATCAATGTAGATGCATGTAAACCCCCCAGAGCAATAGCATGATAAACCAGAAAGTCTGCTGGACCTATTGATAAGAATGGTATTCTTATAAAAATTGCTAATTTAATAGCGGATACACTTTTTCTTTCACATAATATCTAATATATCAAACTTGCTGAAGTTGGGACTGGTATAGTTTAAATATTTAATGCAACCAATCATGTACTTTTTGAAAGCACTAGCTACTAGCACTTTGAAATATCTCAAACTCAAAAGTATTTTCACTATAGTATCTAACGAAGCCTACTCCTAGCAAATTACATTTTAAAAGACGTGGCATTTTTGTTCCCCTTCAGCATTCCAGATTGATCAGCCTCCAGGTGACCTTAATTCTGATCTATGAATTTCTGAAGTATTTACTTCCAAAAAACTTGACGGTATATACATTAATTGAACACTGTGTAGTAACCAAAAGTCTTGTCCCATGTTGCTTATTAGATGCTCTTGATTTGTTTTCCATTCTTTAGCGCAATATGTAGCTTATGTATCTCTATTAGTGGATATTATTTGGATTCTTCATTAGAGGTCTGATGCCTCATCTAGTTTAAATAAACCATACAAAAGACACGACTGTCCAAGTCCTTCGGTTTTGAGAGTAAAGTGCAATTTGGTTCATCCTTCACATTGAACTAACTGGGAACTTTTTGTGTTTATGTTGTGTGTAGCTCGACAATAGCACCACTAACTCAATCTCGGAAGTAGAAAGAAATGAAGGCAATGCACAGAGCAGTGAGCTTCTAGAAGTACCAGGTTGCCAGGCAATAGAGTTGAAATTAACTGAAACAGCAGTGAATAGGTATTTGCTCATTTCTACCCTCTTCTGCTACTCTCTATGAAAATTTTCAGCTTTAAATTTCTCTGAACATTTGGCATATGCATCTCAATTGAATGGCTTTCCTTACGNTAGAGTTGAAATTAACTGAAACAGCAGTGAATAGGTATTTGCTCATTTCTACCCTCTCCTGCTACTCTCTATGAAAATTTTCAGCTTTAAATTTCTCTGAACATTTGGCATATGCATCTCAATTGAATGGCTTTCCTTACCGTCTGGATTTTGTTTTGTTGTTGCTATATTCACTAGAAGGTTGAGAAAATGTTAGTATTCTCTACTCAAAAGTTTTTCTTCGTTTTGCTCCTTGTTTCCGAATATCTCTTTTGTATAGAAAATTTGAAGTGCTTGGGTTTGGCTTTACCAATCTTTTTTCTTGTTCTTGTTTTGCTACTAAGAATATCTGGAGGCATCTGCTATATCAAGTCATTGGCAATTTAAGTCTTGTCTGAATCATGGCTCATGGTTGCCTTATCTCTCTCGCTTCCTCTTGGGCCCCCTTAACTTCAACCAAACTATTCTAATGTACCACACTCATCTTAACACCCTCACTTAAAATGCGTACAGTTTTCAAACATGTTTTTATCTTACTATCAAGCAATTTTCAGTATTTCAATTGCATGAAAAGAAAACTAGGGCCCATGGTGAGAAGACCATGATTCCAATTTCTGGATAGAGACTTTTAAAGGAATTATGAATCTATTTAATCTGCATATGAATATGTTCTATTTCTAAACAGGGAGGAAATCTCAACAGCAGGATTTGTCCTATCTTCAGGTGCTGCTTTATTTCCACATCCATCTAAGGTATCTCATGGTCATAACTCGTTATATATGTTAGTTTATGTGCTGTGTTGCATTTAGATACGATTGAATGCATTTTTACCCCCATTAAATCAAATGATTTTTATTCTTCTTGGAGAGAATTTAGGAATTTTGGGGCAAGTGAACATGCCAATTATCATTAAAGTTGGCAACATGTACTAAGCCAGAATATCTTCCTGTTTTTTAAGGCAAAAATATCATCATGTTGGAGATGAATTTGAAAACATTTTATCTCTATTGAGGAAATGGAAATTCTGGGTAGCCTCAGTAGACTTCACGTTGTCCTTTGGCAAAAAATTAAGCATTATGGGCAAGAAATTGAATAAGGTAATAAATTCCAGGCATTGACAGGTGGAGAGGATGCGTATTTTGTTGAATGCCAAAGCTGGTTTGGGGTGGCAGATGGAGTTGGTCAGTGGTCATTAGAAGGTATTCCTTTCTAACTTGTGTATGAGTTGTCAGCTTCAGAGTAGCGGTTGAAGTCAGAAGATCAGTCCACCCTCTCGGTGGGCTATTTATGTATTCAAAGTACTCCCTGATGTCGTCATTCATTTTCAAAGATACTTAAATTTATTCTGCATCTTTGTTCAGGAATTAATCCAGGAGTTTATGCCCGAGAACTCATGGCAAACTGTGAGAAGATTGTTTCCAGTTGCATAAGTTTGCAAATAACCAACCCTGAGGAAGTTCTTAATCGAAGTATTGCTGAAGCTCAATCTCCTGGATCATCAACAATTTTGGTTGCTTATTTTGATGGCCAGGTATAACTTTTCGCGAAAGCTGTTCGTGTTTTTGCTTCATTTCTTTAAGTGATGATAGATTAGAAAGCCCTTTTAACAAGAAATGTGGCCAACAGCACCGATTTAAGTGTTTCCTGCCTCAGAAAGCACATCAAGTAAACCCTTGGACCCCAGTACCTATGTTTTATGTTCTTCAATTTTTTATTTTTTAATTTTGGCTGGGAAACAAGCAGCTAACAGATAGCTGTATTCTAGTAGCAATATTATGTGCCCAAGAGATGTATCAACTAATGTATTCATATTTCGCTGTATAAGTTTGAATCATATCCCAGAAGATGCAAGGTGGCCAAAAGCTTTGGGCAATATCCCTATGGCTGGAAAATTTCCTACAATTGGGCAATCAGCTATGCCTTTTGATTCCTTTCTATTTAGAGGATANCTTCCTGTTTTTTAAGGCAAAAATATCATCATGTTGGAGATGAATTTGAAAACATTTTATCTCTATTGAGGAAATGGAAATTCTGGGTAGCCTCAGTAGACTTCACGTTGTCCTTTGGCAAAAAATTAAGCATTATGGGCAAGAAATTGAATAAGGTAATAAATTCCAGGCATTGACAGGTGGAGAGGATGCGTATTTTGTTGAATGCCAAAGCTGGTTTGGGGTGGCAGATGGAGTTGGTCAGTGGTCATTAGAAGGTATTCCTTTCTAACTTGTGTATGAGTTGTCAGCTTCAGAGTAGCGGTTGAAGTCAGAAGATCAGTCCACCCTCTCGGTGGGCTATTTATGTATTCAAAGTACTCCCTGATGTCGTCATTCATTTTCAAAGATACTTAAATTTATTCTGCATCTTTGTTCAGGAATTAATCCAGGAGTTTATGCCCGAGAACTCATGGCAAACTGTGAGAAGATTGTTTCCAGTTGCATAAGTTTGCAAATAACCAACCCTGAGGAAGTTCTTAATCGAAGTATTGCTGAAGCTCAATCTCCTGGATCATCAACAATTTTGGTTGCTTATTTTGATGGCCAGGTATAACTTTTCGCGAAAGCTGTTCGTGTTTTTGCTTCATTTCTTTAAGTGATGATAGATTAGAAAGCCCTTTTAACAAGAAATGTGGCCAACAGCACCGATTTAAGTGTTTCCTGCCTCAGAAAGCACATCAAGTAAACCCTTGGACCCCAGTACCTATGTTTTATGTTCTTCAATTTTTTATTTTTTAATTTTGGCTGGGAAACAAGCAGCTAACAGATAGCTGTATTCTAGTAGCAATATTATGTGCCCAAGAGATGTATCAACTAATGTATTCATATTTCGCTGTATAAGTTTGAATCATATCCCAGAAGATGCAAGGTGGCCAAAAGCTTTGGGCAATATCCCTATGGCTGGAAAATTTCCTACAATTGGGCAATCAGCTATGCCTTTTGATTCCTTTCTATTTAGAGGATAAGTGGCAGCATGGAATGCTAATCTTTGAAGAGATGGATGAGCACATGCACATTACTGTTGGATGGAAAGTTTCGGGAAATTGCTAAAAAAATTTTGCTTCTATTTGAATATGTGTGTAGTAGTTGGACTACTATGGAGCCATGTCCTCTATTTTTAAGTTTTTTTTTAATAACTCTTTTTTATTCCTTTGTCTCGAACTTTGTGAAGAACTTCATTCTATCTCTCCCTCAAACAAAACCCCAATTGTACACTCCCTTCGTTCTACGAACCCTTGTTGATTCTAAACTTCATTCGCAAAGGAACTGGACTTTTGACTGGCCAGCCCTTTTTTATGTGCATCTTTACTCTGAAAGGAAAATGAGCTTTGTTCCTCTAGGCAGTCCCGTGGTTTGCGAGAAGGAAAAAGGCCTCGATAATGGTAATGTCAAACCAGAAACAATGAAAATGGAAAGATTAGGAAAAATGAAAGTAATATTAGGCACTCTAGGATCCTTGGGAAGAAAGCCGGAAAAGTATGCCCCCAGTTTCGAAGCTGTCCGCAGAAAAAACAACAGTATTATTGGACGCAACAAGAGAGCGATCCCGTATCAAGCAATGCATAAAGGAAGAGGTCTTCGATGATGATTGCATGAGAAAGCTGGAATGCCCTTCCATATCCTTGGACCTTAGTCTAGCAAATCATTTCTGCACCATAAAAACTGCGCTGGGCTTCCCCTCTCTTCTACAGTTTGACATGCATAAAAGCTAGGGACGTGATGATTTTTTAACCCTTGCTAGTAAAGCTATAGTTACCTCTGGTGATAACTATATTTCAATGTTGACAGGTCCTTGGCGTGGTTAATATTGGAGACTCGGGATTTATTATAATTAGAGATGGTGCAATTTATAAAATATCTTCTCCAATGCTACATGAGTTCAACTTTCCATTCCAAGTGCAAAGAGGTGATGATCTTTCTGAACTTGTGGAGGTATGTTATTTGAAAGCATACATGTCTAGTTGAATCTTCCTGAAGCTAGTCTTTATGTTACTAAGATTAGTGAGATTTTGATGTAAGCTAAGCAAATAAACTCTATTTTCCTGGTCTTGAGCAACTCATGATTGAAGAACTATAAATTTCATTAAGTTTTTCCTTTTGTGTGGCAGAGATACAGAATTGATCTAGATGNTCATTTCTTTAAGTGATGATAGATTAGAAAGCCCTTTTAACAAGAAATGTGGCCAACAGCACAGATTTAAGTGTTTCCTGCCTCAGAAAGCACATCAAGTAAACCCTTGGACCCCAGTACCTATGTTTTATGTTCTTCAATTTTTTATTTTTTAATTTTGGCTGGGAAACAAGCAGCTAACAGATAGCTGTATTCTAGTAGCAATATTATGTGCCCAAGAGATGTATCAACTAATGTATTCATATTTCGCTGTATAAGTTTGAATCATATCCCAGAAGATGCAAGGTGGCCAAAAGCTTTGGGCAATATCCCTATGGCTGGAAAATTTCCTACAATTGGGCAATCAGCTATGCCTTTTGATTCCTTTCTATTTAGAGGATAAGTGGCAGCATGGAATGCTAATCTTTGAAGAGATGGATGAGCACATGCACATTACCGTTGGATGGAAAGTCTCGGGAAATTGCTAAAAAAATTTTGCTTCTATTTGAATATGTGCGTAGTAGTTGGACTACTATGGAGCCATGTCCTCTATTTTTAAGTTTTTTTTTAATAACTCTTTTTTATTCCTTTGTCTCGAACTTTGTGAAGAACTTCATTCTATCTCTCCCTCAAACAAAACCCCAATTGTACACTCCCTTCGTTCTACGAACCCTTGTTGATTCTAAAATTCATTCGCAAGGAACTGGACTTTTGACTGGCCAGCCCTTTTTTATGTGCATCTTTACTCTGAAAGGAAAATGAGCTTTGTTCCTCTAGGCAGTCCCGTGGTTTGCGAGAAGGAAAAAGGCCTCGAAAATGGTAAGGTCAAACCAGAAACAATGAAAATGGAAAGATTAGGAAAAATGAAAGTAATATTAGGCACTCTAGGATCCTTGGGAAGAAAGCCGGAAAAGTATGCCTCCAGTTCCGAAGCTGTCCGCAGAAAAAACAACAGTATTATTGGACGCAACAAGAGAGTGATCCCGTATCAAGCAATGCATAAAGGAAGAGGACTTCGATGATGATTGCATGAGAAAGCTGGAATGCCCTTCCATATCCTTGGACCTTAGTCTAGCAAATCATTTCTGCACCATAAAAACTGTGCTGAGCTTCCCCTCTCTTCTACAGTTTGACATGCATAAAAGCTAGGGACGTGATGATTTTTTAACCCTTGCTAGTAAAGCTATAGTTACCTCTGGTGATAACTATATTTCAATGTTGACAGGTCCTTGATGTGGTTAATATTGGAGACTCGGGATTTATTATAATTAGAGATGGTGCCATTTATAAAATATCTTCTCCAATGCTACATGAGTTCAACTTTCCATTCCAAGTTCAAAGAGGTGATGACCTTTCTGAACTTGTGGAGGTATGTTATTTGAAAGCATACATGTCTAGTTGAATCTTCCTGAAGCTAGTATTTATGTTACTAAGATTAGTGAGATTTTGATGTAAGCTATGCAAATAAACTCTATTTTCCTGGTCTTGAGCAACTCATGATTGAAGAACTGTAAATTTCATTAAGTTTTTCTTTTTGTGTGGCAGAGATACAGAATTGATCTAGATGAGGGTGACGTAATTGTCGCTGCAACGGATGGACTTTTTGACAATCTATATCCCCAAGAAATAGCATCAATCGTATCAAAGTCATTGCAGTTGAATTTGAAACACCAGGTGCCTTTGCCTTGCACTCTTTCATTCTCGTTTTTATGAGCTTCTAATAGATGGTGATTGGATTTGGAATAATGAACCAAAAATTTAGCCACAATTGTTGCAGTCTGAGTATTTGTGAAGCTCTGCAACCAACATGAAAAATGGGGACAGTTTCACTAATATTTAAGGACCATGCTTTGTATTTTTGATTTCCTACTTGATGGCATTTCGAATTGAGAAAGCATTTGTAGTATATAGTCGCGTGGATGCAGCTCCTCCTTTAATTTTGAGCAGCCTAATTATTTTGGACTATAGATTTAGTGGAATGCTCCAAGTGACATACCGTGTTTGTGCTAACTAACATGAGTACTTGTGAACTTTAAGGACTATGCTTGGCCTACGGCCACTCCCTTGTGCCTGCTTCAGCTTACTTTACCACCCCGGCTTGAGTCCAAATACGGCTAGCTTTATTTATTATAATTCTGTGAGAAGCTTCTCATTTAGTTTGTTGATTTGTTTATGCGAGTTAATTTACTTTATTATTATTTTTAGGAAATCGCAGAAGTCCTGGCCAGAACAGCCCAAGAAGTGGGGAGCTCTGCATCTGCAAGGTCTCCCTTTGCAGATGCAGCACAAGCAGCTGGATATGTGGGATATACTGGTGGCAAGCTAGATGATGTTGCTGTTATTGTGTCTTTGGTTCAAAAAAAGAGATCCAACTCAAGCATAGAGTAATTTCATTTGGTTACTACATTTTTGTCTTTGTCACTATATGTATATATGATGATAATATGATTACATTTTCCGATATTTTTCACGATGTTACTATAACCTCGCGTTTTCTTTTCGTGGATTTGATTTCACTTTATCATTATGTCTTGCTAATTTTTACATGTAAATCAAACGAGATAACATACCCCCGTTCGTTCCAATGGGATTCTTCTATGCATAGGTATGCGCAAACGATGCTTTTAAAATTATTAACAAGAAAAATATAGCGAATTATATTTTATACCCTAAAAAATTTAAGATTTGTATTTTATACCTTCAAAGATTAAATTTCTCACCTTGTACTCTCAATGTATTAAAAATGTTACAATGTAGTCATTTTGTTAACTTCTTTTACTCATTTTGTCAACATAAATAAGGTATTTTTGGACAGAATAAGCAAGACAAACTAACAAGATCACATTGTAAAACTTTTAATATGTTTAGGGTGTGAGGTAAGAAATTTAATTTTTTGGGGTACAAAATAAAAAATCTTAAAAATCTCACTAATGAAATATTTAACTTTGAGTTGTATAAAGACTAGGGTATCCCATGTAAAGTATACTTTTTTACCGAGATTAAAAGGTTAAGTGAATAATTAAAATATTTGTTATGATTAATAGGTAAGTATAGTTAAAATGTTTATGGCAGTTAATAGATTAAATGTAAATAAATAGATATATATTGTAGTTAAATGATAAAAATATAAATCGTAAGATAGGTCTTTAAATCTCAACGATCAAGTTGAGTCATAAGTATGTTGGCATATTTGAGATGTTAAATTAATTAGAATGATAAGTACTTGACTAAACATATTTTGTACATTGTTGTGAACTTCTTAATACATAATTATGAATAAATATTTGGATACAATCTAGATCACATTGAGCGGAGAGCGGCAGCGCAAAAATGTCAACATTTAATAAAAATTAAGAGTTAGAGTGTCTCAAGGGCGCTGTTTTATACGCACGCAGACACACATTAATAATATAAAATAAAATAAAATAAATTGTAATAAGTTCATCTGACGGTCTCATATAGATTCATCCGACGACTATCAATATCCCTCACAAAATTATTTACATTACACCATAACTTTAGTCTCGGATTACCCCTAGTTTACTCATAAAAGTTTAATATAAATAAAATATAAAAAAATAAAATTTCATGTATAACTATAAGACAAACTATTGAATTTTTATGTTGATTATCAAGTCTTAAAATTGCAATTATAGTTTATAAATATATTTTTAGTTTAATATGTATCTTTAGATTTGGGTCAATATTTTCAAAATAAAAATTTAAGTAATAATAATTAAGTATATAAATAAGTAAAAATACGAATTAATCGAATCCACGAATTTTATAAAATGAGAGCACGAATTCGTTCGCAAAGCACGAGTCCACACATGGAATGTAAGAGCGTTAAGAGTTCAAAAAAATTATGCGACTAAGGGTACAATAAGATTTATGCAAATTAATAATGCGACACAATATAATCTATTTGACAAGCCAATTTGAAGTATACCATGGGGTCCCCCCAGTGGGGCCTATTTTTTTTTGGGAGTGAGAACACAAAAAATGCAGAGCAAAAGTATTCCACCGAAAAGTAACCTCTATAGATTGCATTGGACCGTGGGGCGCTTTCCCTAATCACGCTTGACCAGCTCATCAAATCATTCCATTCATAGGCCTTTTTTCATACCTCTTTCATGACATGCACACCATTATTATTTTCTCTGCATAGATGTGGTACGATTTTAATTATTAAATATTTGATAAATTTAATGTGATTCATCACTAATTTAATGATTTATATTAAAATGATATACAAAGATAATTTTAAAAAAGTGATAAGTATAATATTAGTGTAAGTGTTTGATTTGATGCAATGCACATTAATAATTTTACTTCTAATCTAAATTTACCCATTTGAATACCACCACTAAGGTGGATTTCAACATTCCTACATACATGGGATTATTTGTAGTGATGATTGTGATTTCAGATTCATAATCTGAGGAAAACATTTGTCGAACATAAGAATTGTTCCTCTCCCCCCTCCCCCTGGGCCCCCGTTTATCCAATCCCAAGGAGATATGCCCCCCCAAACTAAACGGTCTTATAGGTAATTATGTTAATAAATGTTTCCTTCCAATTGAATCTTTGTAAAACCCCAACTGCACACCCAAATCTAACGCGTAAAAGGCAGCCAAAGCCCCCACAGTTTGAACTCTCAAAGGACATGATTCCCCAACAAATGACCCCCTCAAATCCCTAATGCAATGCACATTAGTGGAATGACCAAATCTATGCAAGATTTTCTTTTCTTCGGGAGAAAATTCTTATTAGAAATTGCAAAGAAATAAAAAGTACTGGAGAGAATTTCATTCCTTTTAACTCAAAATGTTTACATTTTCCACTTCATCTTTCTTTCGCACCCATTTAACTACTCATTTAACCTTCTTTTTTTTTCAAAAAAATTGCCCCATCATTAACAAAAATACTTTGCACATGCATTGCTTCTTGTCATACTTTCATATATATATATATAGAGAGAGAGAGAGAGAGAGGGGGGGGGGTATTGGAATCTAATTCCCTTGGTGGGGAGGGAGGTGGTGTGAGTTATATTGGACCAAAAAGGAGTAGCAAAAAGTGATAAAGATGTCCCATGTTCACAACTAAGAAAGGAAAAAAAAAAAAAGATGCCCATGCAATGTTGGGTGTAGACCCATAGACTCCTGATCTCCAGTGGGATTCACAAAGCTCAATCAATCACAATCATGGCGATTCTTCATGCCTGGGCTCACAAGAGAGAAAGGCAATTTAATTTTAGTTCATGATTTTGAAAGGGAGGAGACTTTGGAATACTTAGATGCCACGGTCACACTGCACACACTTAGCATAATGATGTGGAAAGCTTAGCCCACTAATGCTCCGCATNTACATTTTTGTCTTTGTCACTATATGTATATATGATGATAATATGATTACATTTTCCGATATTTTTTCACGATGTTACTATATCCTCGCGTTTTTTTTTCGTGGATTTGGTTTCACTTTATCATTATGTCTTGCTAATTTTTACATGTAAATCAAACGAGATAACATACCCCTGTTCGTTCCAATGGGATTCTTCTATGCACAGGTATGCACAAACGATGCTTTTAAAATTATTAACAAGAAAAATATAGCGAATTATATTTTATACCCTAAAAAATTTAAGATTTTTATTTTATACCTTCAAAGATTAAATTTCTCACATTGCACTCTCAATGTATTAAAAATGTTACAATGTAGTCATTTTGTTAACTTCTTTTACTCATTTTGTCAACATAAATAAGGTATTTTTGGACAGAATAAGCAAGACAAACTAACAAGATCACATTGTAAAACTTTTAATATGTTTAGGGTGTGAGGTAAGAAATTTAATTTTTTGGGGTACAAAATAAAAAATCTTAAAAATCTCACTAATGAAATATTTAACTTTGAGTTGTATAAAGACTAGGGTATCCCATGTAAAGTATACTTTTTTACCGAGATTAAAAGGTTAAGTGAATAATTAAAATATTTGTTATGATTAATAGGTAAGTATAGTTAAAATGTTTATGGCAGTTAATAGATTAAATGTAAATAAATAGATATATATTGTAGTTAAATGATAAAAATATAAATCGTAAGATAGGTCTTTAAATCTCAACGATCAAGTTGAGTCATAAGTATGTTGGCATATTTGAGATGTTAAATTAATTAGAATGATAAGTACTTGACTAAACATATTTTGTACATTGTTGTGAACTTCTTAATACATAATTATGAATAAATATTTGGATACAATCTAGATCACATTGAGCGGAGAGCGGCAGCGCAAAAATGTCAACATTTAATAAAAATTAAGAGTTAGAGTGTCTCAAGGGCGCTGTTTTATACGCACGCAGACACACATTAATAATATAAAATAAAATAAAATAAATTGTAATAAGTTCATCTGACGGTCTCATATAGATTCATCCGACGACTATCAATATCCCTCACAAAATTATTTACATTACACCATAACTTTAGTCTCGGATTACCCCTAGTTTACTCATAAAAGTTTAATATAAATAAAATATAAAAAAATAAAATTTCATGTATAACTATAAGACAAACTATTGAATTTTTATGTTGATTATCAAGTCTTAAAATTGCAATTATAGTTTATAAATATATTTTTAGTTTAATATGTATCTTTAGATTTGGGTCAATATTTTCAAAATAAAAATTTAAGTAATAATAATTAAGTATATAAATAAGTAAAAATACGAATTAATCGAATCCACGAATTTTATAAAATGAGAGCACGAATTCGTTCGCAAAGCACGAGTCCACACATGGAATGTAAGAGCGTTAAGAGTTCAAAAAAATTATGCGACTAAGGGTACAATAAGATTTATGCAAATTAATAATGCGACACAATATAATCTATTTGACAAGCCAATTTGAAGTATACCATGGGGTCCCCCCAGTGGGGCCTATTTTTTTTTGGGAGTGAGAACACAAAAAATGCAGAGCAAAAGTATTCCACCGAAAAGTAACCTCTATAGATTGCATTGGACCGTGGGGCGCTTTCCCTAATCACGCTTGACCAGCTCATCAAATCATTCCATTCATAGGCCTTTTTTCATACCTCTTTCATGACATGCACACCATTATTATTTTCTCTGCATAGATGTGGTACGATTTTAATTATTAAATATTTGATAAATTTAATGTGATTCATCACTAATTTAATGATTTATATTAAAATGATATACAAAGATAATTTTAAAAAAGTGATAAGTATAATATTAGTGTAAGTGTTTGATTTGATGCAATGCACATTAATAATTTTACTTCTAATCTAAATTTACCCATTTGAATACCACCACTAAGGTGGATTTCAACATTCCTACATACATGGGATTATTTGTAGTGATGATTGTGATTTCAGATTCATAATCTGAGGAAAACATTTGTCGAACATAAGAATTGTTCCTCTCCCCCCTCCCCCTGGGCCCCCGTTTATCCAATCCCAAGGAGATATGCCCCCCCAAACTAAACGGTCTTATAGGTAATTATGTTAATAAATGTTTCCTTCCAATTGAATCTTTGTAAAACCCCAACTGCACACCCAAATCTAACGCGTAAAAGGCAGCCAAAGCCCCCACAGTTTGAACTCTCAAAGGACATGATTCCCCAACAAATGACCCCCTCAAATCCCTAATGCAATGCACATTAGTGGAATGACCAAATCTATGCAAGATTTTCTTTTCTTCGGGAGAAAATTCTTATTAGAAATTGCAAAGAAATAAAAAGTACTGGAGAGAATTTCATTCCTTTTAACTCAAAATGTTTACATTTTCCACTTCATCTTTCTTTCGCACCCATTTAACTACTCATTTAACCTTCTTTTTTTTTCAAAAAAATTGCCCCATCATTAACAAAAATACTTTGCACATGCATTGCTTCTTGTCATACTTTCATATATATATATATAGAGAGAGAGAGAGAGAGAGGGGGGGGGGTATTGGAATCTAATTCCCTTGGTGGGGAGGGAGGTGGTGTGAGTTATATTGGACCAAAAAGGAGTAGCAAAAAGTGATAAAGATGTCCCATGTTCACAACTAAGAAAGGAAAAAAAAAAAAAGATGCCCATGCAATGTTGGGTGTAGACCCATAGACTCCTGATCTCCAGTGGGATTCACAAAGCTCAATCAATCACAATCATGGCGATTCTTCATGCCTGGGCTCACAAGAGAGAAAGGCAATTTAATTTTAGTTCATGATTTTGAAAGGGAGGAGACTTTGGAATACTTAGATGCCACGGTCACACTGCACACACTTAGCATAATGATGTGGAAAGCTTAGCCCACTAATGCTCCGCATACCACGAAAAAAAAAAATGAAGGGAGAAAAAATTGAAAAAAAAAATATTTTCCTTTTTTTTTTTTTTCCTAGAGAAAAAAGGAATGGAATAATGGAGAATACCCAGAGACGACCCTGATAGGTCATCATCGATAGAATTATTAGACCCTTGACTACGGCCTGTTATATATCTGAAAAACGAACTTAACTAAGTTTGTATAGTGGTCAACCACTAAATTTTAATGTGAACTACAAGGTACGCTCAAACCTCTTCAAAAGTGAAAAAATCGGCCAATAAACTCGACCACCCCACTTGGTGGTATATATTTTCCTTCTATGTTGCTTGGTATGATAGATAAAAATTTGAGGGGTATTTCTAGTTTTGCATGGTGAGATAAATTCCACGTCTCAAACAAATCGTAGGTTTTTTTTTAGGTTTTTAAGTTAGGGTGCACAGATCAGCTTATGCGTATTTCAATTAATTTTTTTTTCAGTTCAGTTAAAGACAGATTATCCACGTCAGACTAGAAAATTCACAAAAGATAAATATCTTATAATCTGACCCCAAGAAAATTACTAAGTTTTAAACTCAAAATTTTNATAGTCGCGTGGATGCAGCTCCTCCTTTAATTTTGAGCAGCCTAATTATTTTGGACTGTAGATTTAGTGGAATGCTCTAAGTGACATACTGTGTTTGTGCTAACTAACATGAGTACTTCTGACCTTTAAGGACTATGCTTAGCCTACAGCCACTCCCTTGTGCCTGCTTCAGCTTACTTTACCACCCCGGCTTGAGTTCAATTACGGCTAGCTTTATTTATTATAATTCTGTGAGAAGCTTCTCATTTAGTTTGTTGATTTGTTTATGCGAGTTAATTTTACTTTATTATTATTATTATTTTTAGGAAATCGCAGAAGTCCTGGCCAGAACAGCCCAAGAAGTGGGGAGCTCTGCATCTGCAAGGTCTCCCTTTGCAGATGCAGCACAAGCAGCTGGATATGTGGGATATACTGGTGGCAAGCTAGATGATGTTGCTGTTATTGTGTCTTTGGTTCAAAAAAAGAGATCCAACTCAAGCATAGAGTAATTTCATTTGGTTACTACATTTTTGTCTTTGTCACTATATGTATATATGATGATAATATGATTACATTTTCCAATATTTTTCACGATGTTACTATAACCTCGCGTTTTCTTTTCGTGGATTTGATTTCACTTTATCATTATGTCTTGCTAATTTTTACATGTAAATCAAACGAGATAACATACCCCCGTTCGTTCCAATGGGATTCTTCTATGCATAGGTATGCGCAAACGATGCTTTTAAAATTATTAACAAGAAAAATATAGCGAATTATATTTTATACCCTAAAAAATTTAAGATTTGTATTTTATACCTTCAAAGATTAAATTTCTCACCTTGTACTCTCAATGTATTAAAAATGTTACAATGTAGTCATTTTGTTAACTTCTTTTACTCATTTTGTCAACATAAATAAGGTATTTTTTGACAGAATAAGCAAGACAAACTAACAGGATCACATTGTAAAACTTTTAATATATTTAGGGTGTGAGGTAAGGAATTTAATTTTTGGGGTTACAAAATAAAAAATCTTAAAAATCTCACTAATGAAATATTTAACTTTGAGTTATATAAAGACTAGGGTATCCCATGTAAAGTATACTTTTTTACCGAGATTAAAAGGTTAAGTGAATAATTAAAATATTTGTTATGATTAATAGGTAAGTATAGTTAAAATGTTTATGGCAGTTAATAGATTAAATGTAAATAAATAGATATATATTGTAGTTAAATGATAAAAATATAAATCGTAAGATAGGTCTTTAAATCTCAACGATCAAGTTGAGTCATAAGTATGTTGGCATATTTGAGATGTTAAATTAATTAGAATGATAAGTACTTGACTAAACATATTTTGTACATTGTTGTGAACTTCTTAATACATAATTATGAATAAATATTTGGATACAATCTAGATCACATTGAGCGGAGAGCGGCAGCGCAAAAATGTCAACATTTAATAAAAATTAAGAGTTAGAGTGTCTCAAGGGCGCTGTTTTATACGCACGCAGACACACATTAATAATATAAAATAAAATAAAATAAATTGTAATAAGTTCATCTGACGGTCTCATATAGATTCATCCGACGACTATCAATATCCCTCACAAAATTATTTACATTACACCATAACTTTAGTCTCGGATTACCCCTAGTTTACTCATAAAAGTTTAATATAAATAAAATATAAAAAAATAAAATTTCATGTATAACTATAAGACAAACTATTGAATTTTTATGTTGATTATCAAGTCTTAAAATTGCAATTATAGTTTATAAATATATTTTTAGTTTAATATGTATCTTTAGATTTGGGTCAATATTTTCAAAATAAAAATTTAAGTAATAATAATTAAGTATATAAATAAGTAAAAATACGAATTAATCGAATCCACGAATTTTATAAAATGAGAGCACGAATTCGTTCGCAAAGCACGAGTCCACACATGGAATGTAAGAGCGTTAAGAGTTCAAAAAAATTATGCGACTAAGGGTACAATAAGATTTATGCAAATTAATAATGCGACACAATATAATCTATTTGACAAGCCAATTTGAAGTATACCATGGGGTCCCCCCAGTGGGGCCTATTTTTTTTTGGGAGTGAGAACACAAAAAATGCAGAGCAAAAGTATTCCACCGAAAAGTAACCTCTATAGATTGCATTGGACCGTGGGGCGCTTTCCCTAATCACGCTTGACCAGCTCATCAAATCATTCCATTCATAGGCCTTTTTTCATACNTTTTTTTTTTTCCTAGAGAAAAAAGGAATGGAATAATGGAGAATACCCAGAGACGACCCTGATAGGTCATCATCGATAGAATTATTAGACCCTTGACTACGGCCTGTTATATATCTGAAAAACGAACTTAACTAAGTTTGTATAGTGGTCAACCACTAAATTTTAATGTGAACTACAAGGTACGCTCAAACCTCTTCAAAAGTGAAAAAATCGGCCAATAAACTCGACCACCCCACTTGGTGGTATATATTTTCCTTCTATGTTGCTTGGTATGATAGATAAAAATTTGAGGGGTATTTCTAGTTTTGCATGGTGAGATAAATTCCACGTCTCAAACAAATCGTAGGTTTTTTTTTAGGTTTTTAAGTTAGGGTGCACAGATCAGCTTATGCGTATTTCAATTAATTTTTTTTTCAGTTCAGTTAAAGACAGATTATCCACGTCAGACTAGAAAATTCACAAAAGATAAATATCTTATAATCTGACCCCAAGAAAATTACTAAGTTTTAAACTCAAAATTTTTAGGCTACGTCTCCGCTGAACTTAAAATTCCTAAACTAGAACCAAAAAAAAAAAAAGAAAAAAGAACGTGTTTCCAAATGCCATTTAACATGGGATTTCATTTTTACTAATGAGAGGAAGACTGTGGAACCATCTGGTTATAACTGCAAGTGACATGGTCGATTCTAAAATTACAATTAGTTGAAATAATTTATGACCAATTATTAAATAATTGTACCTTTAAAAAATAAAAACGTTTTATTATGATATTTGAAAAAAGAGTCTACAGTACCAGAAAAAAAAATTCGATATCATACTATTATTACAACTTTTGTGTATATTTTTATAACTTTTGTACGATCTTAAAAATATTAGGATTGATCGCAAAACTATAACAAAAGTGATAAAAATACTCTCAAAAATTATAAAATCAACCATAAAAATTATAAATTTTTTTGTTACAAAAATTAAAAAACTCGGTACTAATTTTTTTATTTTAAGTACCGTAAACTATTTTTATTTTTTAAAATTCGGACCTGGAAATTTCGATATCGGACCTACGGGGGTTTGACCCAGCAAAAAAGTTGTCATGAAAAAACGACATGCGCCGCATATACATGACATAAAGCAAATGAAATGGTTAGTCGGGTGGACCCAATCAATTTCTCGGATCGCAAAGTACAAGTCTTATAAGAATCTTTTTTACATTATTCTTATAACAAAAAGCGTTTAATCACCGTTAAATTTGGACTAAAGATCTTCAAAAAAGCTAACGGACATTGAACCGGCAATCACTCTTTTTTTACTTTACTACTAACATCATGTCTCTTNTACATTTTTGTCTTTGTCACTATATGTATATATGATGATAATATGATTACATTTTCCAATATTTTTCACGATGTTACTATAACCTCGCGTTTTCTTTTCGTGGATTTGATTTCACTTTATCATTATGTCTTGCTAATTTTTACATGTAAATCAAACGAGATAACATACCCCCGTTCGTTCCAATGGGATTCTTCTATGCATAGGTATGCGCAAACGATGCTTTTAAAATTATTAACAAGAAAAATATAGCGAATTATATTTTATACCCTAAAAAATTTAAGATTTGTATTTTATACCTTCAAAGATTAAATTTCTCACCTTGTACTCTCAATGTATTAAAAATGTTACAATGTAGTCATTTTGTTAACTTCTTTTACTCATTTTGTCAACATAAATAAGGTATTTTTTGACAGAATAAGCAAGACAAACTAACAGGATCACATTGTAAAACTTTTAATATATTTAGGGTGTGAGGTAAGGAATTTAATTTTTGGGGTTACAAAATAAAAAATCTTAAAAATCTCACTAATGAAATATTTAACTTTGAGTTGTATAAAGACTAGGGTATCCCATGTAAAGTATACTTTTTTACCGAGATTAAAAGGTTAAGTGAATAATTAAAATATTTGTTATGATTAATAGGTAAGTATAGTTAAAATGTTTATGGCAGTTAATAGATTAAATGTAAATAAATAGATATATATTGTAGTTAAATGATAAAAATATAAATCGTAAGATAGGTCTTTAAATCTCAACGATCAAGTTGAGTCATAAGTATGTTGGCATATTTGAGATGTTAAATTAATTAGAATGATAAGTACTTGACTAAACATATTTTGTACATTGTTGTGAACTTCTTAATACATAATTATGAATAAATATTTGGATACAATCTAGATCACATTGAGCGGAGAGCGGCAGCGCAAAAATGTCAACATTTAATAAAAATTAAGAGTTAGAGTGTCTCAAGGGCGCTGTTTTATACGCACGCAGACACACATTAATAATATAAAATAAAATAAAATAAATTGTAATAAGTTCATCTGACGGTCTCATATAGATTCATCCGACGACTATCAATATCCCTCACAAAATTATTTACATTACACCATAACTTTAGTCTCGGATTACCCCTAGTTTACTCATAAAAGTTTAATATAAATAAAATATAAAAAAATAAAATTTCATGTATAACTATAAGACAAACTATTGAATTTTTATGTTGATTATCAAGTCTTAAAATTGCAATTATAGTTTATAAATATATTTTTAGTTTAATATGTATCTTTAGATTTGGGTCAATATTTTCAAAATAAAAATTTAAGTAATAATAATTAAGTATATAAATAAGTAAAAATACGAATTAATCGAATCCACGAATTTTATAAAATGAGAGCACGAATTCGTTCGCAAAGCACGAGTCCACACATGGAATGTAAGAGCGTTAAGAGTTCAAAAAAATTATGCGACTAAGGGTACAATAAGATTTATGCAAATTAATAATGCGACACAATATAATCTATTTGACAAGCCAATTTGAAGTATACCATGGGGTCCCCCCAGTGGGGCCTATTTTTTTTTGGGAGTGAGAACACAAAAAATGCAGAGCAAAAGTATTCCACCGAAAAGTAACCTCTATAGATTGCATTGGACCGTGGGGCGCTTTCCCTAATCACGCTTGACCAGCTCATCAAATCATTCCATTCATAGGCCTTTTTTCATACCTCTTTCATGACATGCACACCATTATTATTTTCTCTGCATAGATGTGGTACGATTTTAATTATTAAATATTTGATAAATTTAATGTGATTCATCACTAATTTAATGATTTATATTAAAATGATATACAAAGATAATTTTAAAAAAGTGATAAGTATAATATTAGTGTAAGTGTTTGATTTGATGCAATGCACATTAATAATTTTA